ATTGTTACACTGAAAGAGAACTATTTCACTTGATAAAATCATTAGTCATTTTCACATTAACAATTTTCATATCAATTAAAAGTAAATTACAAGAAGCATATTCTGATTATAAGAAGGAGGAGCAAAACTACACTAGTCACTGAGATATGGTTACCATTACATACATATAGTTTCTTTACAGTTAAAGCAACAGTTCTATGTGTACGAAATAATAAGTAACAGTTAAATAAACAGTTAGAAAGTAAATAATAATTCAAAAGTCTAGTTACTATTAAACTGCTACAGTAGTTTAGAGCAGGGATCCCCCAAACTTTTTGTACCATAAGCCGCATTCAGGCAACGGTATAAAGGGCATAAGTGGTTTAAGCCGAGCTGTGTTGCCAGGCAACCAGTCTGTGCTAGGTCACAAAATCTGGTTTAGGGGTCTTGGCATAAAGTTCGAAGTTTTCAACTTTTTGAAGACTTGGGATAAGCATCGACCAATCAAAGCGAACACGCAAAACCTGAATGCGAAAACGGAGCAGGAAAGCTGTAGGCACATCCACGCATGCGCAAATTTAGCTTCTCTAAGTGGGTGTGGCTTAGACCCTGTGTCACAGGTGTGAACAGAATTCCTGCATTTTATTCCTTGTGACATTTATGTTGCCCTCAGAAAGCAGCCTTAGAGTACATTCTAGAATATTTGCGGGGATGTTGGCACATTTATTCTTTCAAGGTAATTTATAGGTTGACATAATTAATAATAAGCATAACATCTAAAAATTATCCCAAAAATATAATTTTGAGATATTATTAATAGTATTAATAGTATTCTTATGTTAATTAAATCATGTCTAAGTATAGAAGTTTACTAATTCTTCCCTTTACAAATCTTGGGTATAAAATTTCTTTGTAAAAATGCAGTTTGTCAAGTCAATGTGATATTTGGCATTGTATTTCATAGCCAAATAATGCCAAATACCGGGAGGCCATAATTAAACTGACAGTGCTCACAGTGTTCTGTAGCACGATCTATTTGCGAGAATGACACCACATTTTGTAGGAAGATTAAACAAGACGGGGGACGAAGAATTCCACGAAAAAACAAATTAGTTCCAAAAGTTACCGCTACAGGAATATTTGGCACTGTGTAATAGAAAATAGAGTGTTAACAAATGCAAATTAATACGGAATAAAATTACCTTTTATTATGCACATTTTCTGATTTAGTTCAAGTGCAATATGGCAACACTTTTAAAAAAGCATAAAATCTACATAAACACCGATAAAGTCTTGTGATCTGCAATATCATGTACGCCGAGCAGCAGAAGAAGTTCTTTAAATTTCACGTTAAATCCATTCGCACAGTGCCAGCTGCTTGGGTTTTAAAAGGCAATGTGTTACATTTCGAATCAATCCTGCTCATAAACAATTGTCAAGTTGTTCATCTTTAAGTCAAGATCTGTACTTTGAATTCAGGATATATGTTGTTGAAAACAATGATATTTGGCATTTTTAAATTTTCAACAAATAAATGGGTCAAGATGATAAACTGGCTGGGACTCCAGAACTATACTTTCAAACTGGGAAAATTCCAATCAAATCGGGCTGTCTCATAAGCCCATTTGAAATTATAAACATATAATTGTAAACAAATATACTTATAATTATTTAAGTAATCACTAATTATAAAAAATTACATACCATTTTATTGAAAACTAATTGAAAAAATTTAATTGAAATATTACTAATTCTAACTTTACTAAAAAATTTTTTATCGTGGTTGCACAGCAGCAGACATACATAAAACCATTAGCAAGTGCAGTGGTGCCATAGGGTTGGGGACCCCTGGTTTAGAGCATCAGTCAAAAATTTGAACAATATACCCAATGAAATTCTGGGAAATTTTATGAAAAGAACACAAATTTTAAAATAATGATTTTATCCTGCTTTCATATCCACATGTGCAAAAAATCTGAACATCAGGCCTGCAACATCTGCCTCCACTGCAAACATTTCAGTGACCTTTCCTAAACTTGCACCATTGGCTCACAATTTCTTCACTTCACAACAGGCTTATAAATTCACATTCAATGCAAATTTCTGTGACATTATGTTCTTTTTCATTTAAAAAAAATCTAATCATTGAGCAGATCAACTAGCCTTTTATTTATTTATATAAAAATGTCTTAGAAAAGAAAACATTAGTTTAAGTGATAAAATTAATACACTTATATGGCTAGTAGACCAGACGAAGCTACTATGCATATATTATCCAATTGGTGTCAGTCTCCTCCCTCTTTGCTGCCAACTGACACTTTTAAAATGTTATATTACCTGAATTACAGAAGTTGCATATGACTGAAAAATCAAGTAATGGGGGAAAAGTTTAGGATAGCTAAGTTTCACTTCTGATGATTTAAAAATAAAATTGAAATATGGTGTTTTTTTTTTTTTTTTTTTTTTTTTTTTATGCGGTACGAGTAGTCAAAATGCCAGATGTAAAAGCCTATTCATATCTCCTCATGAATAGCTGTGCAGTTCTATGATTTTTTAAAAGTGAAAACAGATCACTGTTACATGGAGAGAACTATAGAACATGTGCAATTTTCTAATGGTTAAGTAAAAATATGCATGAGAACTGCATAAATTCAGCATAATACACATCAAACATTATACGATACACTACTGTTATTACAAGTTCATTTTTTCCCTACAAAGCTTTATGTACCATTAGGGTTGCCATCACCTAGTTAGGCATTAGGCCAACATTTATGTTTGGCACTTAGTAGTACATCTTTACAGAAAAATAACAAAAAAGGATACTATTCTGTTAGAGTGACGTCAGTTAAAATTGTGCCACTTTTTTTTTTTTGCCACCAATTCTTGACAAGTATTAAATTATAAAATAATAATAGAGCTCAAAAGAATAAAAAAAAATTAACTCTGTAAAAAGTACCGTATATACTCGCGTATAAGTCGATACCGCGTATAAGTCGACCCCCCCACTTCGACATAAAAAATTCGTAGAAAATAAGAAGCCCGCATATAAGTCGATCCCCCACTTCCTAAATCGATCAAGAAACTTTGAAGAAAAATTTTTAAGTACTACATTTATTCAAAATCATCTGAGAAAAAAAGTAAATATATGATAAAAAATACCTTGGTAAATAAACAAAATCAAAATCCTTCAACGTCTGATTCATGGTCAGATTCGCCAAACATTTCATAGAACTCTTCTGTCGTCATTGGCTCGTCATCATACATATTTTCAGTCTCAAACTCTGTATTGTTACAATCACTACTACAGCCTTCGTCGTCCTTTTCACTTTCAAAAACAGCATCATCTTCCGTGCCGTCTAGTTCGTTGCTAATACAACATTTTTTAAATGATTTTATAATCATTCAGAGGGTATTTTGCAGGCATTCGCATTTTTCAGGGGCAAAAACATAAAAATTTCCAAAAGTGTCCACAATTTTGGCCACCACTGTAGTTCGTCACATAATTTAAGTCATGAAATTACTTCAAGTAGGTGACTTATTTGATAAGTCGTCCAAGTCGAGTGCGGGAAGAAAACAACTGCATTATACAAAGAAATTTTTGAACTTCCAATTCTTTTAATTTTTTATGGCCCCGCGTATAAGTCGACCCCCCCACTTTGAAGTCTTTTTTTTTGCCCAAAATATCTCGACTTATACGCGGGTATATACGGTAACTTTTTTTAAATTTCTTAATTTTTACAGATAGTAATTTTTTTCTTTTTAATCTTGTAACTTAGAATATTTTACACATAAATAAAAAATATCAAAACAAAATGAAATACAATCCAAATAGTTGGCATAAAATTACGAATATCCTTCAATATTGCAGAAAATTTTGAGTTTATGAATATAGTCGACGCCACAAAAATTCTATTAAATACGATTCTAAACGGCGGCAAGCAGTGAGTGCCCCGCTGATATTTATTTCTTCATTTAGCAGTGCCCCACAATTGCTCCACAGTTTGGATATGGCATCCAGTTTCAGGGTCTGCAAAATTATAGCTGTGATTCACAGTGAAATGTTCATACCCAGCATTTCATAGTTCTTCTTTCTTATATCCTTTCTAGCAGTCTGAAAATATAATGCTGCCATCTGCGATGTTTTCTTGAATGACAGTCATCAATGTCTTAGCACAACAATCAGTAACGGTGACCGCAAAACATTCTTTGCTTTCCCGGCATAAACCACCGAATACCCATTGTTCTGGAAGAATACGTCTAATGTTGTTTTTCCTTCTTATAAAAAGACTTTCATCTATTTCTGTAATCTTGTTGGCTACACTAATTTTAATTCTTTTATGAGACATCACACTATTTGACCATACCTCCCGCAAGTAGTTACTCCAATCTACTGTCGTATTATGGCTCCTTTCTAATTGAAGTTCTCAAAATTCTATCGACATCAGTTCTTGACACCCCAGATAGATGAAACAAACGGAATTGAGGAAAGTAAGATGCGAGCCTTCAAACTAAGTCTTGGTTCTCAATCTTTTTTTCCACAGCAAGAACATAAGTAGCAACGGCATATAGGAGCTTTGTTTGAGTCAAAAGTTAACTTCATTGGATGATTTTTTAGAACTGTTGCTATGAATTATTCCTTTAACCTGAAAGAATCTTATGGCAGCCTCTTTGTCATTAGGTAACTGCCAAATTGTGTAATCCATCATTGTATTGAAACAAATGGCAAAATATGGCAAAAGAATAACCAGTGACGATATTTCAAACGAACACTAGAAATCTCGAGCCACAATATTTTAAACGTAAATAAAAAATATTCAAAATAACCAATGATGACATTTCAAAGGAAAACTAGAATTCTCGAGCCACGATATTTCAAACATTCAATTCTTAAGCCAAGAATTGAACCTTGGTTGTTGGTGCATTTTTAACTGATGCCACTCTAAAGGAATTGTACCCATAAAAGTCTTTTTATTAACCAGTATAATCCATAGATTCATTTTATATACATCATTTCTTACCAGGCTTTGAGAAATCTTTACCCCATGTGCCAACAAAAGAACTCCATTCTTTAAAAACTGGTTTTCCTACATTGGAAAGATAACGACCACTTTTGTCACAGACAGAAAAGGTGTATCCTTCACGACTCCTGGGAGTCTAATTGAATTAAAATTTTATATCATAAATTTATCTAAAAGATCAAATATATTAAATTAATAGAATATGCATTTAAAACAGAATAGTAAGAACTAGTTGTCTCTGACATGAAAAATGTTTTACCTAATTATAAATTTCATTGCAACAGCAAATACGATTTAAGAGCAGATTTGAAATTTCAGCATTTTTTACACTAAAAATTTTAAAAACTGTGAATTCTCTTACATATTTATTCTAAAAATACATAGATTCCAGATTTCAAAAGTATGCTATCATCATCCTCTTATGCCACTGCGGAGGACGGTATGTTTTCCCTTCCCCATATCCATGTTTTTTATCTTTTGGATATCTTGGAATTCAATGCGATACCTCTGAAGACTGTAACCTCTTCTAAGGGAATATAAACATTTTACAGGGTTTGTACACATTTCTCTATGTGGAAATTAAGGACCTTTAATGATCATTAATTGAAAAAAAAAAAAAGTAAGGCCATATAAGCAGAGAGCATTGAAAAAATAAAAGCAATTATTGATAAGCCATTTTACTGTGGCAATAACATTCTAAGAATAAAATAAATCTGTAAATAGGATACATTATTATTAAACATAATCTAATATTTAACATAATTATGCACGTAATTTATGATACTAATTCTAAAACAATATTAGGAAATTACCCACAAAAAACTACAAAACATGCGTTTCTAAAAAAAACTCACAACAAAATATTTATGCATCTTTCTAATTTGAAAATTCTTCCAATATTTTAGCTAATTTACATGAGTTTTCTTCTCTTTAGCATCTTTCCGAAGTTTATTGTTTGAACAAACAAATCAATGATTCCACTAGTTTCTTATTTATCCCCTGATTTGTTAATGCTTTAACAATCTCTATATCTTTAAGAATAATTTTCTTTATGTAATAAATTTTTCTCAACAAATTTTCTCGGTACTTTTCCATTTTGCTGGTGCAGGCGGATAAAGTCGCCAATAATGGTACAACTGATGCCAAACGGAATATCCTTGCTGGTAAACTTTTACGCCTCATTTTCAAAATAAGTTGCAACCATTTCCTATCAGATTGATTGTTTTTTCAATACTGGCATACGATTACATAGAATTTTTACCAGATAGTTTAATTTTATGCACTAAGGCCATTTGCAGTAATTAAGTCAATTAGGATGCAATCGCTCACCCGAAGGCGAAAATATGGAAAAGGCAAAGCCAAGGGTAAAACTGCAGTACTTTATTTCGCTAGCGCATTCTCATTAGAATTGATGAATTTAACCCTTGATTTTGCCTTCCGGTGAGCGGTGTGATTGCATCCGATATTGACTTATTTACCGCAAATGGTCTTAGGGCATAAAATTTAACTATCTTGTAAAAATTCTATGTAATTGTATGCCAGTATTGAAAGAAACAATCAATCTGATAAGAAATGGCTTCGACTTGTTTTGAAAATGAAGCGTAAAAGGTTACCAGTGAAGATATTCCCTTTGCATCAGTTGTACCATTATTGACGACTTTATCGTTTGCGCCGGCAGAATGGAAAAGTACCAAAAATTCCTTTGTACAGATGTCTGTCCAGGTGACCAGATTAGAACCATTTTCGCAATTTTCCACTTTGTGTTTAATGGAAAGATAAAAAAAAATAAAGTGAAAACAAACATGTTAAGAGAAAGACTTTTTAGGATCAAAAGTAGAAAATTCAAATAACTTTCTTTTCACTGCTCTTGCAAAAATTCTCTAAAAAATAATAAATTAATTACAGATTTCCTATAAAATTTATTCATTACATCTTAATGCCATGAAGCCATGTTTCATTTTGTCACATTTTTCTAGAAATCTTGCTTTCAAACCATTTAAACCTTCTGAAGTGTTAGGTCTAAAAATTTTCTCATTATGTCAGAGCAAAAAGCCAGATTTTTTTTTAATAAAAAATTTAGAAAAGAAAAGTGTAAAGTGAATTTTTAAGAGAAAACTGGTAATATTTGAATGAAAACAGAAGAAAAACATACCAAGTGAAAAGATCTCAATCGATTTCGAAAGCAAACAGGTACATGTCCCTCTTCGTCAGGAAGTGTTGCAAATTTCTTTGTTCCTGACAAAGAAGGACCTGTACCTATTTTACCCCCAAAATTGATATAGTTCTTGACATAAATCTCCGTCAAACTCAAGGTTGTTGTGTTACTAATTATTATCTTACTTATTTTTCAGAAACAAAATACTTTTATGATGCCAACATGGAAAGTAATATTAGATTTTAAAACCCAGCACAGAAAATTAAAAGTGTTATATTTTAATGCTATTTTTCAGTTACAATTTTAATAGATTATCATTATTTTAATGATAGTTATCACTTTTATTGTGTTTGTAAAAAAAAAAATTGCAAATCTCTGGATAAAAATTTTTGTATGCAAAATTGATCTTGAAATTGCTAAAATGCTGATAAGTAACCAAATTTAGTACCGCATAATAAAAGAAATCGTATCTCAAAAAAGGGGAAAAGTTGCGTTGATGTAATATTTTATGAACTCTTCATTCTTAAAAAGAAATAATTTCAAAATGTTTTAATAGAGCTAGGGCCTAAAGTCCAAAAATTTCTGACACTACACCATTTATATTAAGAGGTAAGAAATAATTCAAATGATAACCCATCAAATACATATTTGTCAATAAATCACCAAAACAATATTCCTCAAAAATTTTAATTAACACTCAAAATGGCAATCACAAAAAAATTATAGAAATGCCAAATTTAGGACCTTATGCCAATTTTTATCCCAATGGCTGGACACTTGTCAAAAAGCATCCATTAAAAATGACCAAGCCCGCAAGCTGTTTTAGCCACTTCATCATCAAGAATGTTGCCTACGGTACATCACAAAGAATATATTGATATTACACTTAGAAAGAGGCAGACTAATATACACACTTCAGCCTCTGCTTTATATAGAAGTTGAAGAGATTTCAGACTAGCAGCAATCAGCCTCCCTTAACCATTAGCTAGTACAACAATATGGCAAAGATAAACCACACTGGTCATGGAAGTTATACTGGTTTCATGTCAGTAATCAACCTCCACTAACTGGCATATTATATGGGATAATAATGTAACAAAGCTACTTCACATTACTTTTCAACATAATCACCCAGTCTTTGAGAACTGTTATCTGAATGCTCCACCAATCCGTTGATTCCCTGACATTGGAAACCTGCTTCTTGATCATGAAAGCATCACAAAAGCTGCTATTTGTACCAATTCATCTTTGACAAATTGTTGTCCACTCGGATACTAACTCTTGCATAACTTCCAAGGTTTTCACTCTGCATACAATGTGTTCTGTTGATGGCATCATCCAATCTGTATCAATCAATTATGTACATCTGTATTCGAACTGATGATACCATCTAATTATAGCTAGAAGTGACAATGCTTTTTCTCTACTTCCATAATTTTCAATGAATCCTTGTACACATATGATGTTTTGCCCGTGAATATTTTATCGTTCTTCATACTTTAGAATAAGTTTCTAGTTAGCATGTCATTTTGCTTTCATGCTACAAACCACCTCTTGCTGATACTATTATGAAATAGTTTTTTTATAAAAGAGTAAGCATAAGCTCTATTCAGCATATGCACTACTATTTTTGCACTAATTCAGTGAAGTCACAGCAACACTTTAAAATCACTTTTGTAATCCCAGCCGTAATTTTCTTTTCCAGTTATTATTCTAACAACTGCCTTGAATTTATGGGTATTCTTCTGTTATCAGGACCGGATTCAGAAATGTATGTATGTATGTATTGTGCATATATATATATGTATGTGTGTGTATATACATACACATGCATGTACTTACACACAAGCATACACAAATATATACATCCATACACACATGCATTCATACATGCATTTCTGAATCCGGTCTCGATAACAGAACAGTAGCAATTTATATAAAATGCGATACACAGGCTCTATCTAATATATTACTAGTGCTTTTAAATATCACTTTAGTTCTTCAAAAAACATTATTAGGCAACTGCCTATATGACCTGTCCCTTAATCTTGCACTGCACCAGACTATTCCCACAGTCATATCTACAATGATTTATACACCAACTACTTATATTGCTGCCAGAATTACACAAGCATTACAGAAGGCCACAGTCTGGGTTACAATATCAGTTATTAACGAAAGTTTCCCACCACCTCAAATATCGTGTGTGCAAATAGTTCGTGATGGCATGTTTAATCAACCAATTTTTGGCATTTGAAAGAAAGAGACTTGCTTTAGAACACTGTGTTGTTAAATTTGTAAAAAAAAATATCATTATCATTAAGTACAAAGTGTCTGAAATGGAATTATCACGCCACCAGATTAGAAACATCATTTACTTCCAGTTCTGTTGCTAAAAGTCAACTTCAAAATGTCACCAAATCATATGCACAGCTTTAGATACTAATGTTGAATCATATGACATTCTGAAAGTTTGGTTGAAAGTGCAAAAACAAGGACTATAATATTCAAGAAGCAGAGTGCTCTGGCCGGCCTACTGATGTTGATGAGACCCACCTGCAAAAACTTGTGAAAGAAGATCAGTATGCAACCACTCAAGAACTTGCTAAGGAATCACAAGTTAGTGCCATGTCCATTAGTCATGCTATGCACCACATAAACTTGATATACAAGTTCAATTGCTGGGCTTAAATGGCTTTGTTGCAAGAAAGGTTCAAATGATCACCACATAAAGCATTCCATTAGAAAGGGAACATGGTTTGAGGAAAATTTTGGATGTTGTAAGAAATTTTGTGTGACACAGACTGACGACACAGAAATTTCTAAATAAGGTAAGTGGATATTTCCTTTGTGCAGTGCGTAGATGAGATAAGATGTATTTCCTTTTTTATAATATTTCATGGTTTGATTTAAAATGCAGTTTATTGAGATTATATATTTTTTGTTTGGCTCTAGTGTAGAATTGGGTACTCCTTTGATTTTTAAGTGAAAACAGATCAATGTGTACATGTCAGTCAAGTCAGCATGTAATGCCTAGTTTGAGCAATCCTCCGATTTCTTTTTTCAAGTGAAAATAAATCAATGTGTACATGGATACAGAATTTGTACAATTCATTGACTTGTTATTTTGGTTTTGTGTAGCGGCCATCTTGAAATTGTGCCTTGCTGGTGCCGATCTTGTCGTCAATAAAGAACCACAAAAAAAAACAAGGAGCACACAATTGTAATTTAATTTAAATTTTTTCCTTCTGTTTTAATTATGCTTTATTGCATTATGCAGATGCCATTTTACTGGGGAGGGCGTTTGATGTAAACAGGAATGGCACAAAAAAATCACCAATTTTCACCAAGGGGCACCCTAAAATATACAGTAGAAGTCCAGAAATCCGCAAAGCTTGGGACCAGAGGTTGTGCGGATTTTAGGACAGAAAAGATAAAACATGATATTCGGACTAAAAGTGCAAAATAATTAAGGCGTATTAGATACATTTAATTAAATTATTATATACATTATTGCAATAATTTATTATATGCATTAAATTATTATTACATATATTATTCATTGTATTATATGTACACATCATCGAGGTTTGCTGATTTCGCCTCATGCAAAGATTTCCGGTTTCGGATTCTGGTGTTAGAATCATTGTGCTGTAAAATTTCAACAGCTTTTCTTTATTTTTCCATATATCATACACAATCATTTAGCAATTCCATACCATTCTGCTATAAATCGAGGAGTAGCACCTGCTTCCATCTTTTGCAGAATTTGCACTTTTTGCATTACCGTCAATGCAACGTGTTTACGTTTTTGAATGTTGCAAAGCAGTAAAATCATGAGTGCGTTTCTTATCTGTCATTGTATTAAAAAGGGCTGAAATTTAAAATATTCTTAATTTATCCACAAAATATCAGGATAAAAAAAAAGGCAGCACTAAACAATCTTGTGAAATGAAATAACAAAGCTCAAAAAATACAACGTGAATCGTGAACTTGAATAAAGAGTTGAGTGAATCGTCTGCTTTTTTACCTCGATGCAGAGATTAGAAGGAAAAAAACTTTTATCTTAGTTTTTTAAACTTTTTGGCTAATCTTTGGAATATGGTAACAGGTAGTTTGGCAACATTTTGGTAAGGCAATAAAGGTTACTAGCTAGGACATAAAATAAAGTCAAGAGCATGCACAATGCCATTTTTGTGCAATTCTGGGATGTTTTTTTAATTGAAAATAGGTCAACGTGTACATGGATGATACCGAGTATGTGCAATTCTTAAAAACGCAGCAAGCAGTGGGCGATTCTGCATTTTCTCCCAATTTTGCACCTAATCTTCGTCATGATTAAGCATTTTTGTTCAATAAAAGTTCTAGTATGAGCGTAATTCGGCTAGCAGATTGTTGGAAAAAATGTTAAGTAAAAAAAAAAAAAAAACACGCCTTTATTTCGTGAAAACAAAATGGCGTCCAAAACAAAACTAGCAGGTTGCTGTAGCAGGGTTGGTCGCCAAAAAATCGCCAAGTTACCATATTCCAAAGATTAACCAACTTTTTTTATGTCAATAATTTGGTATTTCCTTTATGACTCATTATTATTCGGTAATTATGACGTCATTATTCGTTAAGTATTTTTTCTTTGATATTTTGTACTCAATGTTGAGGTTTCCGGAACCTATAAAGTGAATGTGTATATTTTGAGAGGCAACGCCGATTTCAGGTCGGCGGATTTTCGGTATTTGACTGTATTTTCACCACAGGTAATATTCCATTAATAATGCAAGACCACATGTGTCTGCATTCAATGGCTCTACTCTGTACGGACTCAAATGGGATCTTTTGCAACACGCTATATAATAGCCCACATCGCTCCTTTAACCTTCTACATTTTACTTTGCACCTGCAGCTACATCTTGCTGGTGCTATCTTCCATTCTGCACAGAACATCTGAAATGCGGTTGATCTGTTTTTGGACTTGCGGCCACCAGGTTTCTGGCTGAAGGCTCTGAAACACTATCAAAACATTGGCAGAAAATGATAGTTTATGATGATGATTACTACCCACACTAAAGGTACTGCTTTCATGCTTTTGTTTTTCCTAACTTTATTAACTAACTTTATTAGTTAGGAAACAAAAACATGAAAGTTAAGTTTTTTGGCAGAAAACTTTCATTATAACCAGATACAGTACAAAGTCCGTAATCTGGACATCCACTATCCGGAATGATCTATAATCCGGACCTCAAAGCCACAAACTTTACGCATGCACGTAAAGAATGCGCATATGTGTTACGCATGCGCGTGGAAAGAAATGTTTAATGAAGTAAACAAATAAATATTGGGCTTTTTTTGTGTAAAATTTGATACCCTTTAGATCATAATTGCTTTTTATTTCATAAATTATGGTTTCATATTTTAATAGTATAATTTCTGCATGCCATCTTACCAGATTTAAATTGATAATCTATAATCCGGAAAAAGCCCTAATCCAGAAGAGTCCGGATTACGAACTTTGTTCTGTACAAGTATTTAACTTATCCTTTAAATTGACCTCATATAAATTATGCCTATATAATATGCATATTTAAAAATATATTAAAACAAACTACCATTTATTTTAACACTAAAATTTTAAAAAAAAACCTTTATTGTATTTTCTAACAAAAGCAGACACTGTGGTTGTCGAAATTTACAAATTTAACTACCAGACTGAAACAAGGAAATTGCAAATACCATTAACGTCCTATGAAGTTGCAGCTTTAATAAGGAAGTACTCATTTAACAAAATTATTTCCATATCTGACAGAATTTAGGTGAATGCTGATGATATTTTGACATTATAACAATAAGATCTCTCTTTATGTATTAAAGCAAGCTTCCCCTTATTATTACTTTCTTAATTATCGCCAGATAAATATTTCATCAAATGTTAATAACCTCAACCTCAGCTGAAGATTATTTTTGTGAGGAGCACTTAAATTAAAAATTCAACATACCTGAGAAAATTTCTTCGGAATCTCCCATTGACTAAGTCGTTTTGGTACGTAAGAATCTTGATACTAAACAATAAAAATTAAATCATAACTAAAATAATTTTTACAAGCTCATTTCAATAGTTTTATAAATATGTTTTGTTTCTGTCATAGGATGCTAGCTAGGATTTCATGACGTAGATTAAAGTTCCTCTATTCGTCACGAACTCCATATTTAATAAAAATAAATTATGGAACCTAAATAAACTTTGCTCAAAGTAGAGCAGCAATTAAATAAATCTGATATTATATTCAAACCATAAAACTTAAACCAGTTATTAAACATTTGTAAAGGTCAGTTCATTTAAAGAAAATTAAAATATTTCATAAAAGAAGCACAAAGATATTCTATTTATGAACATGATAAAATTATAAAAAAAAATATTGGGTTATTTTCATTAGTAATTGCTGTAGACAGCAAGCAAAAATATAGTAGTTCTTTCTCAAAAATAAATATATAAAATAATATCAATAATAATCTATAAAATATTAGAAGTAATTAACATAATTTGGAAAACATTGACCTGTTCTGCACTAAAATTTAGGGACATTATTTACTGAAACTTAGTTTACATTATTATTACTTTACATTATTTACTGAAACCGGAAAATTGCCGTGCGATTTGAAAATTGCTGTGCGCAGCGCAGCGTATATGCGGTTGCCAACGCTTTTAAATTTTGGCATACTCTCGCTGTAAAAATTGTCTAATCGTATTCTAATCGTAAGTATATAATTTTAAATTCATGTGAAATTTAAAAAATATCAAATTTAGTTGATATAAAATAACTCCCTATTTGCATTTCACTTTCCTTCTTGTATATCTTATTTATATGAGTACAAAACGTTTAGCAGCACAACGTAATCTCAACACAACCCAAAGCGCAACTTCGGAGAAAAGCAGATGAATTGTATGATATTGTTTTTTATGAAAAGTAGAATAAGTTTTGTTTAGAAGAGTGAAATAAATCATGACTATGCTACATTTTGGAAACTGTATTGCGCTTGCCTATGCGCCTTATTTCATGACTTATAAATTTTCTGGACTGTAAGAAAAATGTATTTTTCCTTGCAAATTTGAAATACAATAATATTATTACTGTATTATAGATAAATCGTTATGCCTGAAATCATATTCAACATTAATTTCTTCTTTAGTCTCTGAGGGATTAACACATAATTCTAAAATAAAATGAAGATATAATTTTATAAAATATTTCGAGGGTGATAGTATTTCATAAGTATATGCTCTTTAAATGAGTTACGTACCTTGACACTACTAAAGCTCGCAGTCTGGTTTAAAATATTAGAACTATTGAAGCCCTTCCTTTCTTTAAAATACCCTTATATGAACTAAACCAATCTTAATACTTAATTTACCATGCAAAAAATTTTTAATGCACATTTTTGTTATAGTTAGATTATTGAATTGTTGGCAGATTTCAAATAACCGGCTCTTGGCGATTTGTTGACATATCGGAAGAGAGTGCATGTGCGCCAGATTAGTGTTCTTAGTGTAGTAAAATTTTATTGTAAATCAGTTTGTTATACATGCATTTCACTTTGCTTTGGAAATACTAGTATTAAATAGATGTAAATTATCTATACTGAGATGAAAACATTTTATGTAATTAATTATGATTATTAATGTGGTATGTGAAGCATTTCAGTGGACATAAATGTTACTTTGAATGTAGATAGGTTAAATTTTCTCTAGACTTTGAAAATTTCATGTGCAAGTTCAAATGTAAGTTTTCTCATGTTACTTATTTATGATTTTTTATGGCTAAATAACATTATTTGTAACTTCATTACTCTGTTTATAATCTTCTACCCATATATAAAACTGGAACTTTTGAAAATTCCATTATACTTACGGTCACACTTGGTGGTACAGTAAAAGTCTGACTATGTAGCATTCAACTAGACATAAAGATCATGTAATCAAAATATTATTAAATTTTAGGAACTTTAAATCTATTTTCTATGAAAAATTAAGCAAATAAGAAATTTGTAAAGGGGTCATAAAGTTTATAAAAGACTATGACTCAAAATTTATACTTTTCACTTGTTTGACACTTTTCGTGTTTTCCATATAGTTGAGTTTTATTGCACTTGCATTCTTTCCCATTAACTATAAAAGTGCTGCTATCTGCTTCCTCCTGGACTTGTGCCAGTCATTCTGTTGGAAGTTTGAAAGATATAATTGCACTTTATTTAGTTAATCCTTAGATATAGCTTTTAAATATATACCACTCATATAGCTTTGGAAATAATCTATTGAATATGTCAAAATGTGAGAGAAATAGCAGTTAGCTTACAGCATTCCTTACAAAAACTAAACTGGCTGATAAAGGTTTGATAAAACCAAGGTAGATGTAATTAAGACACAATAGCGCGTCGAACAAATACTAATTCAGAAGTCAACAATAGATGTCTTCAAGTGTGTTTCAAGATCACATGTATTTAACACTGGTTCAAATCAGATATTGCGTGACAGTAGTTTTTGTGGTAAAAGTATATGTAAGGTTACCCCTTGGCGATTTTTGGCGGTACATGGATACAGAGTTTGTGCAATTCCAATTCTTTGACTTGTTATTTTGGCTGGCATAGTGGCGATGTTTGCACCAAAAAATCAAGACAAAGAATTACGCAAACTCGGTATCCATATACGCATCGTCCTATTTTCACTTTAAAAAAAATCCCAGAATTGCACAAAAATGGCATTGCACACTCTCTTTATCCATGTTCACATCGATCTATTTTTACTTTAAAAAAAATCCCAGAATTGCAAAAAAAAATGGCATTGCACACTCCCTTGAATTTGTCCATGTACACATCGATAAATTTTCACTTAAAAAGTCAAAGGAGCACCCAATTCTACAGTAGGGGCTGACAAAAAATGCATAATCTCAATAAACTACATTTTAAACAAAACAATAAAATAATATAAAAATGGAAAAACCTGTTATGCATATAAGCATTATGCAAAGCAAATATCCACTTACCTAATTTAGAAATTCCTTCGTCTTCAGTCTGGGGCACACAAAATTCCATAACAGCATCCGAAAGCTTCCTAAAATTATCTGAACTCGAATCCGTATATCTGCATCGCCACATAAATTCACAAAAATAAGAGTCAAAAATATTATACGTAGTTCCGGACTTTCCGGAAAATGGCTACTAAGTAAACCTTTATTTACATGCCAGTCAATTAATGCACTTTTTCCCTTTTGTTCCAAATCATACAGAAACATCAAATTAATCTTACTACATTCAGCCATTCTACCGTTTAAACGATGAAACGAGCAATGTACTTCCTAACAACACACACCACAAAAGCCCTTACAAAACAACCCATGATTCAATATTTCACAGAATAATGCAAATGATTACGTCATAATAGGGTTTCTATAACATTCGAGTACTCAGATTACCATAAATGAAACAGCAACTTCACAATAATGCAAGGCATACCCTAAAGTCAACTCTAACAGTTTTTGTTTGTAGAAAAAGGCTGATGGAATAGATAGGTTTGGTCTTGTGGGAAAATTAAATTTAAGATGTATGTTAATACCATGAGGATTAAACATAATGCTCCAGCATATATATAAATTATTTATATTTCACATAGCATTTTTGCTACTAAAAGAAAATGAAAAATATTACCAAACATGAAGAGAAGATTTTATTAACTACATTAAAAACATGGTATCTAATTTTAGGAAAGCTTTATGATTTTATTCCACTATTACTTAACAGTTTATGGTACTTCCTTATTAAAAATCATAGTCTCAGTCATCTCAGACAGTCGGCAAAATCAAAAGATACTTGTAAAAATTGATAAATTGAATTGTAAAATTTTTAAAGCTTGGTAGATTTGATTTTTCAGACTGTTTTGATTATGATATTATCCACATGATAGCACTGATTCAGTATTTTTCCCCCCTCTAAAATATTTACCGTTTTTAATGTATAATTAATTAGGAAAGCAACTTTTTATGATATTTGTAAGGTGCAACATATTCGATTTTTCTTGCTTGCTTTAGACTATGTAATGTTGTTATTTGATTAATTTTTTGGCTGATCTTTAGAATATGGTAACTGGTAGTTTGGCGACATTTTGGAGGCGATAAAGGTTACTACCTAGGACTTTGGTTATAATGTGAGAAGTACTCAGTTCTGATTACGCATTATTTTGTGTGAGGGAAATGAGAGATCATGAGATGTGTCATGTGACATTAATGGTTGAATTACAGTTCTTTAATCGGAAAAAAATCTGGAAATTTTGTATTTAGCTTTATTCTGTGTTGTGTGAAACAGTGTTAATTAATTTTTGGATCCCATGGCCCTAACTAAAGTGAATTCGAAATGGGTATTTAGTGGGATTGAAAGGGGTAGTAATAAGTGTTTTTTTAAGGTTGTGCGAGATAGAAGTAAAGATGTTTTATTAAGTTATTTATTTTACCTGGTACCTTGCTGTGAACTATAAGTATGATTTTAAAGATCCTGAAACAGGTGCACATACGCTTGCTTTTTATTTAGTGGAGGATATAAGAAAAGTTTATCGGACACGTAATCAAGATTGTGAAGATTAGGTAAGTTAGTATTTTTAATTATTTGAGGATATTATTTTTATGCATTGTTCTAAATGTAAGGAGTAAATAAAATAATATGGTATTATTGGAAAATTGTTATTAGCAATGATTTTTATAATTTAAGTAGTGTTTTTGAATTTAATTATATTTTAATTAAATGATAGTTATTTTGTGAATTATATGTTTGTAGGAATTTGGTATACGTTTTAGTTGAAGTAAACGTGCATGGAAATAATTTAAATATTTGACACTAAGTATTTGAAATATTTGCGGTATGAATTCGTTGGTGACGTTTATAATATAATAGATAATTTAGAGGTAAAAGATTTCGGATATTTTATTTATTTTATACGTGGAAATGTTCATATTTGGAAAGGGTATATACTTTTTCGTTATTAGGTAATTTCATATATGTTCTTTTTAACGGGTTTAAAGATTCAGAAAATTGTCATGCATTTTCGTGAATTTTTTCTAATTTATGAGAAAAAAGCAATGTACATGGATATGGTGAAGAGTATGCGCAATGCCATTTTTGTGCAATTCTGAGATTTTTTTTTTAAGTAAAAATAAGTCGACGTGTACATGGTTTAGTGATATTTTAATTAAATGATAGTTATTTTGTGAATTTTATGTTTGTAGGAATTTGGTATATGTTTTAGTTGAAGTAAACGTGCATGGAAATAATTTAAATATTTGACACTAAGTATTTGTAATGCTTGTGGTATGACTTCATTGGTGACGTTTATAATATAATAGATGATTTAGAGGTAAAAGTTTTTGGATATTTTATTTATTTTATACGGGGAAATGTTCATATTTGGAAAGGGTATATACTTTTTCGCGATCAGGTAATGTCATATATGTTCTTTTTACCGGGTTTAAAGATTCAGAAAATTGTGATGTATTTTCGTGAAATTTTTCTAATTTATGAGAAAAAATAGTGTACATGGATATAGTGAAGAGTGTGCGCAATGCCATTTTTTGTGTAATTCTGGGATGTTTTTTTTTAAGTAAAAATAAGTCGAACGTGTACATGGTTTATGTGTATGTGTTATTTTGAAAAACGCGTAAGGAGTATGGTATTGTGCACTTTTTTCCCTATTTTGCAGTGAATATTTGTCATGATTAAGTAGTTTTGTTAGATAAAATTTCTAGCATAAGTGTAATTCGGCTAGTAGATTGTTGGAAGAAGTGTTCAGTAGATAAAAAGAAAAGAAACATGTCTTTACTTCGTGAAGACAAAATGGCGGCGGGAAAAAAAAAATAGAGGGTTTCTGTAGGAGATATGGTCGCCAAATTTTTGCCAAAAAATAGCCAAGTTACCATAATGTCAAGATCAACCATTTTTTTTTTTTTTTTTCTAAAATGTTAATTATTTGTAACTTTCCATCAATTTGAAAATAAGTATAGTTTCTTCAGGATGTCATTCATTTATTCATAGATACTTACA